CAGCCTGGGATGTGTGTGCACTGGTACACTCAGGATTGACGATCCTGGGAGGTGTGCACAATGGTACAATCAGGATCAACCATCCTGAGATGTGTCCGCACTGGTACAATCAGCACCGACGAGCCTGGGAGGTGTGTTCACTGGTACAGTCAGAAGTGATCAGCCAGGGATGTGTGTGCACTGGTACACTCAGGATCAACCAGCCTAGGAGTGTGTGCAATGGTACAATGAGGATCGACCATCCTGGGAGGTGTGTGCACTAGTACAATAGTGGCATAAATTTCAAGAAAGTAAAAGCTACTTTGCTACTTAATTTAAGATCTGCTATAAGAGCCAAAATCCATATCTAGCAACATTTTGTTGTTGTTTTAGAACTTATAGCTAGTCAGTTCCTAAACCATAGGAGAGAAACTACTGCTATTATGATGCTAATCAGACATAGTAAACCACTCTGAGTGCTTGTCATTGCACCCATAGACTACTCATCTCGACATTAGTCTGAGATAGCCCTTTTTGTAGCTGATGGCAGCTCACAACTGGCCACGGTTCGGTGAATAAGAGTGTAGAATGCTCACACATAAAGGGAACACATATATACCAAACACAGCCTCTCCCATGTCTTTGGGATCATTACAGGAGAAGGGGGCATAAAACATGTAAGATCCTGGACCGATGAATGACTCCAAGGGAAGATTGTCTTCTGGATTCAGCAGGGTAGCTATGCATATAAGCTCACAGCAGTCATGAGAGCATAAATCCTGTACAAATCCTAACCATATCAAATCTCAGCATAGAGAGGGATAGAGCACACTATTCCACCACAAGACACCGAACTATTGGCAACTGCTAGCTGTCAGGAGAGGGAGAGACAGCTTTCCCTAAGAGTCTACCACTTGCTAAGTCAACCACGCACAGCGGAAAACCACACATTCACTAACACTTAGGTGACATAAATTAAAAGGTCTTGAGGCATTGAAAAAGAAAAGAGAGAAATAACAAGGAAAGGATACAAGTTATATGGTTAGGGAAGGGGATTGAGTTTAGAAAGTGTTAGAGGTGGAAAAGGATCAAAGCACTTTGTGTGTTCGAAGAAGTAACAAAAATAAATATAAATAATATTGGCTAGAATAAAGACTTGTACAACTACCTCTAACAGGTCCTTCCCAGACAAAGATAGCTTTTTCCACCAGATGACAAATTTTACATTGACCTAATTTAAATATCGTTGCATTGAATCATTCATTTTATACTAAAAGTAACATAAATTTATTGTAATTTTAAAATAGTTGAAACTCATTGAAATATTAAATTGCTTACTGTATTTTATATTTTGTGAGATTTACAGATACATTATGATTTTAGTGTTTCCATTTTCAAAAAATGTGAATGTACTGCATCTTACACAGTGAACAACTTATTTCATCACAATTTTCAATTTTTGGCAATAAAAATACACATTTACCCAGGGTACAATCTAAATATTTTAAATAGATTATTTTCTTCTACAACAAAACATAACCAAAGCATTTTTTCAAGTAAGCAAGTTAATCAATTTTAGTAACCATAAATCAAAATATTAAAATGCAACCTAGTAAAAGTTATTATATACTCAATTCCAAGATCTATGGAATAGTGCTTTAAACAGCAGATGCTAAATGAAGCAGAAACACAGCCAGCTACATCACAACTGCAGGAGTACGAAACTGTGAGCAACATCAAGCTCCTGTCCGGATACTTATTGTCTGATACACGGTCCCCAGGAACTGACAGTTGATCTGAGACAGTGAGGGGAGAACCAGAGTCCTACCTCTTCCCTCTTGTCTGAATTGTCAACCTTACTGGCCGTTAATGTTCTCAGCACACAGCTGTCTATCTCAGTGGGAAAGGCTATGTGCAGTAGTCTTCAGTGAGGGTATGTGCCACTCTTCCAAGGACACCACAGAAGCTTCTTAGTTCAGGAAGTTATGCCAACCATAGACTCCCTGAATGAACTGACATGTTTAGTTTTTCTCCACGCTGCTCCTAATTGGTAATGCACAAAATACTTTTTCACACGAGACGATTTAATTCTAGAACGTTGGTTACCAGATAGTTGTATGAATTTTATACCTGAATCATTTTTACTTCACTACTAACCACAAAAAGCAAAAGCAAAAGAAATACGATAAATTCAAAGTGGCAAAAACGTGCTCCAAACACTGGCTTGCCTGCCAATTGCCACAGATCAACAGAACTATAATCAGCCAGTTTTCACTGGTTTCCCAAATTCATCTTCACAACAAAACACCAGAATCAAAAGACAGCATAGAACTTTCTCTGATATGAAATCAACTCTTATTTTATACCTAATTTCCAGCATTTACCTCACAGCAAACTTGACCACCGTTGTTTTGGAACCCATGCCTAAGAATCCTTGGCTGACCTTGTTGTTAGATAAATATACACAACAAACATATTCACAGTTCTCATTGTCATGGCTCAACACAATGACTGTTGATCTGGTTTAATGTGACACTTGTGATTAGGAAGCTATAATACATGTTCTGATAATTACTTTTCCTTCGATTATCTCATTTTAATACAATCCCAAAGTTTTATTTTGAAAATAAAACTCTGGCCAAAATCTAACTAATTTTAGGATTAATACTTTAAAATATGTGTGCGAACAATGGTTCTCAGCCTTCCTAAGGCTGCAACTTTTTCACAGAGCTCCTCATGTTGTGCTGACCGCAACCATACAATGATTTTGCTGCTACTTTTATGAACCATCGTGTATACCAGTGATCTTAGGCCCAAAGAAAAGTTTGTGCAAAGAAGGGGTTTGTGAACCTTGGGTTGAGAACCATTTCTTTACACAATTTCGCCAACAAATTTTGATTATTTTTCATGTTAAGAGTTTAATAAAAAGCAGCCTCAGACTAAATATGATTACTGCTTAAGGAATAAAAGAGTCAACTGAAGGCTGAACCTTGGGATTCAGACAGAGCAGACTAAACCTGGAAAGTCCCATCCTCCATGGCAGCAGTGCTGGCTCTGAGCCAGGCAGACCATGAGATGAGTGAGTGTTTCCTTTCTTTAGCTACGTGATCTGTTGTCCTGAAACCCAACCACGATGTCGTTTCTTAAGACAAGATGTGACCGTGCATGGAGGATTCAAATCAGATCAATGTGAAGTCCTTACTAAAGACACAATAAAAAAGAAAAATAACACTTTTAAAAGGAAACAGGAAGCCTGGAGTAAAATTTCTATTAGCTTCATCACAAAGCTTATCATAGAGAGTTGTGCTGTGACACACTAATTGTTAGCCAAGACACCGTATGCTGTCGCTACAAGCACGAACTCCACACTTGCAATTTCTTTTAGATTTTTAAAAGAAATCTACAAACATGTCACTACATGGGATTTTCAACAGGAGAAATTTGGAAAACAATGAGAATGAGAGTTATTAAAATGACTGAATTATAGAAATAGTATAAAATATAAATACTACAAAATAAAAGTGGTGAGGCATCATCAAAAACCGTCATCTGAAAATGTTTTGTACGATACTTAGAGATAATTATGAACACTTCCTTCTTTGTCTTCTAATGTGCAGAGTTTTCAGTGGTCAGAAGCATTTTCTAATGCAACAAAATGATTCTAACTGAAGAATGCATAAGTATACACTCTGGTCAGCAAAATGCCCCTGTGCACTGGGCTGCAGAAATACACTCTACCTCCACTGATAAAGTATGCCCATTATAGCATCATCCACTTGAGTCCACCACATTGTCAAAATATCTAAGGAAGATGAGAAAGTAAAAAGCCCTTATTCTCAACATGGCAAAAACATATGTATGATATAATATAAAATAGTATACAACTTAGCATTTCTCCTAAATTTAGAAGACAAAAATTAAAAGTAGAATATCCCTTTATCTACAGACAATGATTCTGAGTCTTGAAGTTGTGGTAAAAGTTTTAGAACAACTAAGATTTAAAAGTGAAATATTTTGCAGATACATTTTATTTTTAATCAAGTTACATTAACATACCACAGAAAATTTTGATTAAATACTATTTTCTTCATCATTGCCAATAATGTGACCTACTTCTTAAATTGGTAGAACAGCAAGTTATCTTTTCAAACTTGACTATTAAATGAAGATATTTTACGAAGAGTAAAATTTCTCTATATTTCTATTCAAAATGAAGGGTCCCGGCTTAGACTCTGTTTTCCATCTGGAAACAATGGAGCAGACTAAATTGAACTGACTGTCAGCTTAAGCAATGACTGTGTGCTTTTTCAAATTAAGTCATTCAATAGAAATATACCGAGAGAAAATATTTTTAATCAATTTGGAACTGCAAATAAATAGAAGCAAGGAAACGCCTACATGCCAATGGTAAACAGAAACTTCACCAAGTTAGTCCACATACGATTCTAGAAGGAAGTTTAAACCTGTACTTAGGAGCAACCTCAAGCATATTTTTAACACTGCTCCACCAAAGAACAACAGAAGTAAATATTTGACCAGACATTTGTTTTTTTTTTCTCATTTTGAAGACTTCTGCCATTGTCAGCTTTCATGCTTCTGTGTAGTCAAACCACGATGTACATTTAAACAATCAACGCCTCTATTACCTTTCTGCTGCAAATTTGAATTTTTCCCAAGTTGGCTGTACTTATTTGTGTGAACATTTAATGAGCGCATAGAACCATTCAAAACTTTAGGTTCAAAAAAATTCCGCCGGGCGGTGGTGGCGCACGCCTTTAATCCCAGCACTCGGGAGGCAGAGGCAGACGGATCTCTGTGAGTTCGAGACCAGCCTGGTCTACAGAGCTAGTTCCAGGACAGGCTCCAAAGCCACAGAGAAACCCTGTCTCGAAAAAACCAAAAAATAAAAAAGAATAAATAAAATAAAATAAAAAAAATTCCATCAGGAAGCAAAGAAGAAAGCAAAACAAAGCTATGACGTTCTTTATGATGCATGGTGAAAGACGCAAGAGATATCTTACCAAGTACCCCAAGCCGATAGTTGACTGTGATGACGATCACGTTGCCATAGCTTGCCAAGACACTCCCATCATATAGATTTCCAGTGCCTTCCATGTAAGAGCCACCATGAATGTACACCATCACTGGCTTTGGACCCCCACTGTCCCGAATATCTGCAGAAATAAATAGTTGACTGTTATTCTTACCCCCAACAGTATATATAACAAAACAGCACATTTGTATGTTAAGGAAGGCATGATTTTAAATTGCTGCTTTTCTTAAAGTGTTTCTTAAGCAATTCTTATTAAGAGTCATTGTAGAAAACAACAGGCACCCATTACTTTCTGCCTAAAACTTTGTTTCCAAGAGATGGGCATGGTATCCACAAACTATAAAGTAAGGACAATGGTTCATTTCTATTTAGAGCCAAGGAATCTGCCCCTTCCCCTACTTCCTATGGAGCTTTGTATCAAATACAACATGATTACATTAAGTCATTTGTGCTCTCATTTCTGAATATAATTATGCCATTATAATATTCATTTCAGAGTTTAATTTTACTGCTTAAGTACTGTCAAACAATTGTTTAGACAGTAAAATTATGCACATCTGAGCACCTGTTGTGATGCATTTATGGGAAAATGTTTGTAGAAAAGCCACGGAGTTCACCTACCAAAGCAAACATAGTGTTTGGGAGAAAAACAAGACAAACTTTTATTTGCACTACTCCCTGTAGCTGATGTGCTCTTCCTAGGCCCACTCTGTTGCCGTATTATTCATCATGGATCACGATAAGGCCAAGAATGAAGAGATGTCAGGTGGCATTAATGGGACTCTCTCCCATTCTCAATTTCATTTTATTTTGCTAAGTTACATGGACAACAACTATGTGGTTTTCAACAAGAATGAAGAAGTACCATATAAAAAGTGATTTGATCAATATTAAAAATGTAGTAATTTCTTTTGAAAAGGTTAACCTATGGTGGTGATTCAGTCTCAAACATTAAAATATCAAAATATAACTATAGGTAAAAAATACTATTTAAAACAAGTTGTGTCCCTTTCTGCTCATAAGTGGAGCATGTTATTATTATATGGGGTATGTTGTTGTATATTAATTTTAGCTCTTGTTTGAAAGTGTCATTTGAAAATATAGTTTAAGTTCTTTAAATGTTTTAATCAAACTAATGTTGCCTACAAGCTTTTAGTCATGACGTCAGCATTTATTGGAAGCATAAGATAGAAATCACAGGAAGACTGGTGATGATTTAGGATCTGTTTGTCCTCCCCCTAAAGAGGAATGACCGATTTAAATGCTCCATGTCTCAATTCTTTTTGACTGTGATAAGTGATTTCTTTGACTGAAAACTCATTTTCAGATCAAAACTTGCAGAAACTTGTCGTTTCTCTTGTTTATTCAGACTTCCAAGTTGAAGAAGTGGTTCATGGCACATCTTGGAGTCTCCCCCACCTGTTTTTTTTCCGATAACGAACATGTGTTATTTTTAATCGTCTTCATTTTTTTACAATTGGATTTTAGTTTAGTATAAAATTAATGGGCTTCATTTTGTCATTTTCATACACTAGCCATTACATTTGTTCTCAGGAGTCCCTTTAAGAAAGATCAATTTAGAAGGACTCGCTGCCTGTCTGTGTGCGAGCATCCTTGCTTGCCTCGCAAAGGATGTGCTTCACGAGAAGATCCTGGGTTCGAGCAGGGAGAACAGCTTTCCATAGGAACTGTCTGCTAGGCATAGTCACCACATATGCCCTGCAGTTCTCTCACAGACAAAAGCATCCTCTTTTATTTTATTTTAATTTCTTAAATCTTATTTTATGTGCATGGGTTGTGTTGCCTACATGGATACAAGCATGCCTAGTGCCGAAGGTGCCAGAGAGAGTCCACGATCCTCTGGAGCTGGAGAACAGACAGTTGTGAGTTGCCATGAGGGCCACGCTATCGATCGAACCAGGGTGCCACCACTGAGCTAACTTTCCAGCCCATGCTCCCTCTCATATCAAGATTCAGGGGACTGTGGAGGTGTTAGATGGAAACGGGAAGGGATCCCTTCAAAGATGATTAAACTACACACCTAAAATGCCTGCTTGCTGCATACAATTTTAGCTTCTTATTTTTTCTTGTATGGTTGGCATTGAAGAAGCAATAATAAATTATTAAACTGAAATCATTAGCCGAGCTGTTCGCAGCAGACACTGTACTCTGCTAATTGTATGCTTGGAGGTAGCGCAGAGGGAGGCTGTTTCAGAATTCTCCTTTAATTAAAATTACATAGAATTACAAAGCCCCCACTGTGAACAGTAATGAAGTCTTGGCAGAGCCATTCTGTTCACCTGGAAGACAATACTAGCACACATGGGAAGACTATTCCACACCTTGCAGCAGACCCACATGGGCAATGTCTCAAAGGGCAATCCTGTCAGAAGAATCTAGGGTCTGTGCCTAGGCAAGTCCTTCTCCTCTCTCTCTGTCTCTCTCTCTGTCTCTGTCTCTCTCTCTCTCTCTCTCTGTTTCTTTCTCTCTCTCTTCTGTCTTCCTCCCTCACCTCTCTCTCTCTCTCTCTCTCTCTCTCTCTCTGTTTCTTTCTCTCTCTTCTGTCTTCCTCCCTCACCTACCTCTCTCTCTCTCTCTCTCTCTCTCTCTCTCTCTCTCTCTCTCTCTTGAAATTTATGCATAAAGGAATCACAGCTATTTGGGTAAATTTGAATTTCTAATTCAATTTTTCAAACTTTTCAAATATTTTGGTCTTGCCTAAGAAGTTTGAATATTGAGCTCTTCTTTGTAAAAATTTCAATCAAATTATAATGCTATGTACAATTTTTTTCTTTTAAAGTGATTCAGGACTTAAATACTATAATGTGTGTTGATAACTAAAATTTCTGAATGTAAATTAATTTACTATTTGGAAACTTTTGTAACATATTGGAATCCTCCAACATAAAATAACTGGAATTCGTTGTTAGTGGCCTATTTTTTTATCCGAGTGGCACATTTTCCTTTGTTTGCTTAATTTCTAAGTCTTTTTGTTGTTAATAAAAAGCAGTTAAAATAGTAACTATTTAGTTTGTTTTTTAAAAGAGAACAAGATATTGATAAATGGAATTGATATATCAGATACCATAATATTGTTTGCTATCTGATCACATGTTGACAGTATCTCTGTTTTATCCTCAGACCCTGTACTAGAGGGTTTTCAGTAGTTAATATTGAATGCTTTAGAGCCACAGCACATTTAAACCTCTATTATTTCATTTCCTACATAAAAAGGAAATACAGGAACTTTTTGCTTTATCTACGTTTTTTTTATTTTGAATAAATAGCTAGCTCAGACTTTACTAAAATTGGCATTTCGTGGGCTCTTAAAACACCAGCTTAGTTCTAATCAAAATGTAACTTTTCACAAGCATATTCATCATTCTTTTGCTTGTTTTAGGCCTTGTCAAACACATGGAGATTGAAAGGAGTGGAAGAGTAAAGAAAATCCTGTGATGAGGATCATTTTCCGATAAAGTGTTAAGAAAGAACTCTAAGATTTTAAGGTTAATGAAATAATACATTTGGAATATTAACCTTTAGCCTTAGTAACTATGGCATCCTATTTACAAATATTTTACGCCTAAGTAAAAAATGTCACCATCATAAGAGAATCTGTGTTTGGCGAGTGTGACTCGGCATCATAGGCCCTTTCAATGGTCAGTGAACAACTGGTAGGCAAATTCTTTAAATGTGTGTTTTGTTGCTTTTTAAAGGATCGTGGACTGGTTAATTGTCCGTATTTTAGAGGTTTTGGAGATTTAATAGTTTCTAACTTGTGAAGCATTGCTGTAATTAAATTTTTGTCTGAGACATACAAAGAGACACTTGAAAACATGTCCATGCCTTTCACTCACTTTTATGGGTGCCAGTTAGCTTTCAGAACTGCTAGTGCAACATAGAAAGTGTGGCTTAATCTGTTCTTGTTAAACAAAACAAACATTTTTTTACAAAATAAATAAGAATCTAAAGATCAATGTTTAGAGAACTTGAATCTCTATGAAGATAATAAAATTGTCTAAATGTTAAAGTGATAGTATTGGGATATTCTTGGCACAATCAAATATATCTCTTCAATCTTGTAAGTTCCTACACTATGTTGAGAGAAACATTGGCTACGGTTTTGAAACATTTTTATGACTTCAGATTAGGCTATAAGACACATACTTCTTTTGATTATTATAAATCATAAATTAAAAATGATGTGATTGTGTTTGGTCTAGAGATGACTGCAGTTGAGATGAGAAGTAACCGTCTATCATGCAGAGAAATCTGCAGTGCAGTTAAGGAAATAAAGGACAAAGGGCAGCGAGTGTTAAAAGGGGGCTCAGAGTGCAGCGGCTAAGACAAGCCGGGGAAGCAGGGGTCACAGGAAAGCTGTGGAGAATTGTTATAGAACCTGGAGTCCAGCATGGGAGAGAAGCCTTGCTCCAGTGACTTTTCACACTTTGCTCTGTGCCCAGTGACGCCAAGTCAACATTCGCCACAAATCCAAACTGCTTATTAGATTATTTTGATTTGCATTGCATCTACAAAATAATTCTAAGAGTACTGAAGAGGAGATCATCAGACCTTCTCATGGGATATCTGAATTATCTTTCTTGCTTTGAAGTAATCACCCAGTCCAACAGAGGAGTGGATTGCAATGGAACCAAGTGCTGGAAAAGCACACAGCTTCCAACATTTAGAAGAGAAGTGTTCCTCAACTTGGTAGCCCTGGTAAACGGCTTCCCATGCCTTGAGTGAGACCTGACATTGTAACCAGTGCTTAGGCTATTTTTAATAGTGAACTATAAATGGTAAATGGGATTCAAAGTTGATCTGTAAACTAGATATAAGTGCTAAAGGGCTTAACTCACTACCAATACTCAAAGGTACCTATTCTAAGCTGTTGTTCTCAATGGAAAAAATAACCTGATTGATTCAACACCTGAAAAATTTTAAACTAGAGTAATGATTTATTCTAGTTTTGAGACTATATTACTAAATTTTGGACTTTACAAAATGCAGGTATCTATACTATGTATTGGATTTTAGATTTTCAGGGAATTTTATATATTTTACAATCCTTAGAGCATAATCTTAGAACACTACCCATGTCCTACAATAACCTAGAAATAT